GTCATTGCATTCTCCAAGGCCCTGAAGAAGAAAATCTGAGATTCCCAGGAGTTTTCCAGAAATTCTAGGAATAGCACAAACCCTGCCACCACTGACAGCAGTGACTGATAACAGTGACTGATAACAGTAACATGAGCTACCTTTGCAGTCATGGTTCAATGCAATGGCAGTGGGTATGCCAGACAGATAAACATATTGTAACATAATAATAATATTACCTTGTGGCTGTAAAATGATCTTTTCTTCACACTTTGGCTGTGAACAAAGTGAAAATTACTCAGTATGTGACCCTCCACATGAATATTAGGGGACTTGTTACAAAAGTGCTCTGAGGATATAGTTTGGTTTAAAAAAAAACTTACAACCTGTTGGAAAACTATTTGAAACACATTTAAAATGTGCTAAAAATCTAGGTCCTATTCTGTCTCAATTATTTTATGGGCAGCAAAGCAGCAAAATCCCATTTCCAGCTTCTGTTAGATGGTGCTTGATATTCCCTGACAATCACTCTTCATATTACTCACCCATAGATCCCGGGCTTGCTTTTTCATTGAATTGCTAAATGCAACAAGATACCTACAAGAAAATTGATCTCATCAATAACAATGTTACCTGGATCTTGTAAAAGTAAAATATAATTATTAACTAGATGCCCTGACAAATCATTTTCTTGATCCATAGTAACGTTGTTTAGGAACCAGTTATCCGTTCTTGGTTTACAGTGAGATACATAATCATTTAAAGAGCAGAGAACTGGCCCGTGCTTTCACAAACAAAATTATTGCTCATCAGTTGTGCTTTTAAATATTACCAACCAAGCTTTTTAAGAGCAACACCACTGACTGTGCCATTTTAACCGCAATGTTTTCAAGGTGTATTTTTTAGTTAGTCTCCCCTACTTGTAAGAGGCGTGGTGGTCTCATGGTTAATGTGCTCGTCCCTGGAGCAAGCGGTCCGGGTTCAAACTCTGGCCCTGGCACTAGCATCCCGTCCAGGGGGAGTTGAAATACTCCTTGCTGCTTCACACTAAAGCAACTGGGATAAGCTCTGGTATCTATGAGCCATCAGCTCCAAGGCTTCACTTTTTTTCCCCTACTTAAGAGTCACTCACAACACACTGTATTGGCATCTCTGGTATCAACTGGAAAACTACAAATGATCTATTTTGTGGTCAGGAATAAGTTCTAGGAGCAAAAATACAGACATGTAGAGTTATAATGTATTACCTTGCCTTTTCTACTGCTTTTCTCATAGTTTCCAACTTGTCCTTGTTCTTGTAGTGCTCATTAAGATCAGTTCCTCCAAATATGATGGAGAAAGGTACAGGGCAATCTGATATAATTAACATTTAAGTATATGAAATGTCAGTTCCTGTAATGGCTCATTTTACTTAACAGTTTCACCTCATCTCTGCTTGATGTATTTTATATTTTTATGGTGTAATTTGTATAATCCCCCAATCGTCAAAATTATTTTTATTTGATCAAACTAATATCCCTAGCAAGCTTATCCCTGCTGTCACTCGTCATATTTTCTAGTTTCACTGCATAATTTGCCCTACACTGTATTTCACCTCCACTGCTCTACAAACTTGTCAATTTTTGTAATCTACATGCTTTAATATAATTATTTTTGTGATATTAAAGATGATTTCCAGTCCTTATGTTTATAAACATTATAACTCTCACTCTATGAAATGCAAATTGATGTTATTCGTTACAAATCACATACCTTATCTTTGAGGCCTTTCAAATTCTTTTTTCCAACAGCTTCATTGATTTTTACAGCTGCTTTTTTTATCAAGTGATATGACAAAGAATGAAGCATTACGCTTTGACTGCTTTGCATCCATAATGGCAGTTTTTTGAAACTTTGAGTTTATTTCATGTAAGTAGCTGCAAACAGTTGATGAAACAAAACAAAAAACGCAAACAAACTTTCAAGAATGCCCAGCATGGACTGGAAATCATCTTTAATGCGAGAAAATTATATACCGGTAACACAGTATCAGAATAGTCTCTGTTAAGTTTAAACAATTCATTTCAAGGTTGCTTCTGTCCTAGACGTTGCCAGAAAATAATATCAAAAAAAAGTTTACAGCGACATGTCCTTGACGAAACGGCTGATTTGGAAAACTGTTTTTAGTAACTAGTCCAGTTTGCTTTTTGGGGTGTGTCTATCCCTATCCCAAATAACAACACATATTAAGATGCTAGAGATATGAGGGTAGCCATCTTCCCAAACCCATATTTTGTTCTCTCACTTGACTTTATAAATTAAAAAGAAAATTCATTGTTTGCCCAATGAATTTCAACAAAAGTATGAACATTATTTATGTTATACCTAACAAAAGTCTTCCAGTTCTCCACGCATGAATACCAAGAACACATGCCAGATTATGTTTGTAAACAAATTCCTTGACTGACAAACTATCCTTGAAACAGGTAACACAGCGAAGCCAGCAATCAACGTTACAATCACTTAAACATCTCCTGAAAATTCATGAACACGAAATACAGCATGATCATAAATCAATTAGATTTTCATGTATCATAAAGATGTATCTTGGAAAGTTTGCGATAATTAACTATTGGTTACTGTTACCATCAATTTGTACAAAACAGGTCAAGTAACACTTATTCAATTTGCAACCGAGCGAGTCCCTGGACGTGTGGTCATAACATATGCATTTCCGCACTATCTCACGGAGCAATCAATCAATCTTTACATCAATTCATCTTGGAGGAAAGAAAAGGCAGATCATCAGCTAATGATTCGATATTCAAAGATGTATCTCATTTTGCTTGAAGACTGGTCAATATTGATATCAGGTCACCTACTTTATTCGATCGGCTGTGGAAAAATTTCCAGTCTCCGACGTCAGCGAAGCAATAAGCAAGATCTTCATGAATTTAAGGCAGTTTCTTTACCAACTGTTTGGCAGAACATTGAAATTAACAAATTGTTGAAAACAATAACAACATTTGTGATGACCTAATTGCCACGGGGCATCGAACGCCACGTGAATGAATTTAGTAACCGCGCTTTCTACACCACTCCTCCGTCAACTCCCCCGAGCGTGACGACTCTAGTGTTTAGTCTTAACTCAGACCCTAACCCGAACACTGAAACGCCTGCCTAATTTAGTGAAAATGGCGGACGTAGAGCTAGTGAAACACAAAGGTGGTTGTCATTGTGGAAGGGTTCGATTTGAAGTTATGGCGCCAGCAGTAATTCATGTTTACGACTGCAAGTAAGTTGTGAACAAATACACTGGTGGACGAAAAATTTATGAGGAAATCGTTGTTACAAAGTCTGTAAACCTCACACCTGCATCACTGGAGCATTCGAAGAAAAACTTTATTTTTTTTTCTCCCCAACAGCTGCAGCATTTGTACAAAGAAGCAAAACAGGCATTTTATTGTTCCACGGGATGATTTTACCTTGTTAGAGGTAGTGCACCTGGCAAAGTTATACTGGAAGGGGTGTGGTGGGGTGAGGGAGTTATGGAGCTAGGTATGGAGGAATTTGACAGCTATTTCCTGAAAAATCTCAGTGACCTTTTT